CTCTAGGGCACAAGTGGTGGCTGAGGCTACTAATGCACATGCATCCTCAAGTATTTTATGCGGTATGAGTACATGAGTGTTTTTTCCTTAAGGTTGAGCACGCGAGGGTTTGTAATATCCTTGAACTCCTTGTCCCGGAATATCTTCAGCAGCGCTCGATGGTCTGTGACAAAGGTAAGGTCAAGGCAGCCCAGGAGGAATAAGCGTGCTTTCTTCAGGCACCAGGCGATGGCAAGTGCTTCGCCCTCCAGTGTAGAGTAGTTCTGCTCAGCTGGCGTAAGGTAAGTGCCACACAGGATCAGCTTCCAGCCGCCCTTACAGCACAAGGGGGTTTCTGGTGATGCACACTGGCAGTATTGCTGTACCACCACAAAAGCGATACCAAGTCTGCTGAAGTCGGTGTCATGTCATAATATTGGAGGCCTTCTGCGGCCAACCTGCCGATGGTCTCCTTTGTGGTCTCGAAGATAGACTTTAGTTAGCTATCCCAGTATACTATCTTGCCTGAAGGTTTTCTCAAGAGCTCTCGAAAGGGCTCCATGAGGGGGGCAACACTGAGGAAGGGGGCCACCTGGTTCACCAGCCCAAACCACGACCTGATGTCCGTTAGTGAAGGGCGTGGTGGCATCTGGAACATGGTTATGCTACTCATAAGGTCTTGGCTAGGCCTATAGTCCTCCCAGCCTAGCACGAACCCTGCAAATGTTACACTTCGCTTGCAGAATCGAAATTTGTCTGGCCAGAGAGTAATTCCCTTTCTGCGCATGTCTCTAGAAACTCGTACGTATGCCAAAACGCCTCAGCAACGTTGTGGTCATAGAGGAGGGTATCATCCACACATTTCAGTTTCCTTGGTATATCTGTTATAGCGTCATCAAAACGCTTGGTGAAAGCATCCTGCACAGCGCAGTGCCCCATAGGCGTGCGTAGATAACGGTAACGTCCCAATGGCGTGATAAAGGTCGTGAGCTTCCTACTCTCTTCATCCAGGGGGATATAGTGGTACCCTGAGTAAGCATCTGCAACGGTTTTGCAGGTATGCTTTGGCACGCTGGTTATTGTGTAGAATGGTGGGTTTCCCACAGGCTTGCCCGGTTGAGTCTCAGGAAGTCCACAGATCTCAGCGCTTGTCCATCTTTCTGAGGGACCACCACCATGTGGGGGCACCACTCCGTACACTCCCCGTACAGCCTTCTGTTAGGGTGTAAGGGGAAGTAGCAGGAGGGGTGTTTATGCGTGGTTCCTCGGCCTGCTCTGCGGCGCCCATCATCACACGCATGCTGGGGAAGTCATATGGCACTAGGCCCAACGCCTTGCACGCCTGTAATGTAAGATAAAGCTGCTGAATGCCATCGGCGAAATAAAGATGGGCCTGGGTGGACCGTCCCCCAATACTAATGTTGCATATTCCATTGCCCAGCACTCGCAAGCATCCCCCGGCGAGGTGCCTGATATTTACAGAGTTGTCCTGCCGAGCCTGCTGAATTATTCCCAGGTCACGCATGAGCTGCCGTCCTGTCATACAAACCTGCGCACCGGTGTCAGCCATGGCTTTAACGAGGTACTGCTTTTCGTTGCCAGGCCCTTTTACAAGTACGTCTAGTTGGGGCTGGCTGGTTATGCCCGCTGAGGCTATCACACCACTGGCTACTATGCCTTTTTTCATGTGATTTTTCACTGACTGACAGACCCTTCGGAAGTGGCCCGACTTCCCACATGCACGACACATGGCTCCTGCCGCTTGGCAAGATGTTTTGCTTGTTGTGTGGTGCCCGCCGCAGTAAGCGCATTGCCGCGTGCCCTGCGAAGCCGTCTCTGCGTGGGCTGCCACAATGATATCAACGTTGCTTATGGCGTCCTCTGTGATGTCAACCGTGCCTTGCATTCCACATAGGGACTAGGTGGCCTCTCTGTGTGCTGCTTCGTATGCCACGCAATATGCTCGCAGGCGATCCACCTCCTGGAACTGGCCACAAGCCTGGAACACTTCGCATCTGAAGAGCTGGCTCGCACAGTCCCGCGACCAGTTTTCGTAACAGCATATATTCACCATTACACTCCGGACATCGGAACTCACAATCCACTGCTTTCTGGGTGCACTTCGTAAAATATTCCCTCACCGACTCGCCTGGAGACTGCACTGCGCTAAAAAAGTCTGTCCAACACACGCGTCACTTACCGCGTTTAGGTTGAGCCAGTCCTTCACCGAGCGACGCCATGTGCGGAAGTCAGCTGAAGTCATTTCCTGGCAGCATTTGTCTAAGGCCGATATGTTCAGGGCCCTTGGCTCTCGGTGTTCGGGCCTCGATGTCGCCACAGCCTGCTGCAATGCCATGATGGCGGCATCGTGCAAGACGAGGGTCGTTTGAGCCGGTGCCGGGCGCCTGGATGTTGTCGAAAATCTGGGTCTTGTTGGTGTAGCCATTGCTCCAAGGTTCGTTGGTCACTGCGCCATGTTGGAGGGACATCAGGTGAGGGTAAAGCAAATGGCTGGCTTACCAACTTGGCTTTATTCGGGGAATAAAGGTGGGCAGAAAATGGAACGTCCATACATATAGGCGGCCCGAGGCTGACTGCCTAAGCTTCCCCTTCCGTGGGCACCGTGGGAACCATCAACCGCTGCCGCTGTTAGCACTGTTGGTATTATAACACTGAGAATTTTGCTTATGTTTATTGCTAAAATTTACAGATTGATATGCCATTTGTTCATTGTTTTGTTATAAATAAAATAATAGGGGTTAAAGATGTTTTCTATGACCGTTATAATATTTGGCACACACTTAAAAGAGAAATGAATCAATTCCCACACTCACNAGTGGGCTTGATACAGAGATTAACAAAGCTATAGAAGAGATAGTGGGAGAGATGGAAAGAGAAAGGGAAGGCCGGAGAAAGATAGGGAGGGAGGGAGCGAGAAAGAAAGAGAATGAAAGAGAGAGAGAGAGATTGATAGGTGATATAGGAAAAGCTAACACGAGGAATTCAGTAATAAATGTGCAGGCCTATCCATCAAGACAATCACCATGGCTAGTTTGATTATCATATAACGTTAATCCGATTTAAAATTGCCAGTAATAGTGTGTGTGTGTGGGTGAGAAAGAGAGAGAGAGATTTTTACATAATCATTTTGAAAAAAAAACTCATAACAGTCGCATTATGGCAGTAAATTTTTTGTTCCTTGATAGGCAATAACTTGATCCCCCTATGACTTAGAGATATAATCGAGATGTTCTAAACTCGAAATTACCCGATTGATTAACATAATTTCATTACTAATATTGTTATTAACATAATCATTATTTATTATTGTCCTCATTATTACCACTATTGTTATTATCATCCTTAATAGTTAATTATTATTTTTTGTCATTGTAATTATTATATTCATTATAGGTTCGATAGTCATAAATTATAAATATTCCTTCTTATTTCAGCATTATTAGCATTATCACAACACAAGGGATACTAATTAAACTTATTCCAATGATAATTCCATCAAGAAGTAATGCCTGCAGTTTATTCATTTCCAAAGAGGAAATGAGTAAATATCCAAAATGACAGTAGAACAGCTGCCTTCGAGGCGGGGGGACTAGGGTTCGAATCCCTAGTCCTTTTGGTTTTATTTTCGATTTCTAGGACATCTATCTTTCTGTCAATTAATAATGCCGACAAAAATTTGCACCATGATTCGTTATCAAGGAAAATCGCTTAAGTCGCGAGCTGCTGAGATTCCAAAGTCTAACCTTAGGATATTTGGTTTCATATAAGAGACAAAGAAAAGAGAAGAGGAGGAGAGAATGAGAGGTAAAGGAACAAAAGAGAGAGGGAAAGGGAGATAGAAGAGGTAAAGAGAATGAGAGACTGAGAGAGTGAGGGAGGAGAGAAGAGAGCGAGAGAGAGAGAATATCTGGAAGATTAATGTAGAGAGGGAAAAAAGATAACAACTGATAACAGACAAGAAAGCCAAGGGCCAGTCCAGAGACAAGATAGCTTGATGAAATAACGGATTTTTTAAAGATATATACAGGCCTATCTAATTACTATTTTCGTGATTACTGTATAAGCTGTTAATTCGATTAATACCGAGAGAGAGAGAGAAAGCGAGACCAAGATTGTGTATATGGGGGGGGGGATGATTTTTATTATTAGATATGCGATAAATTATTTTCCATAACTGTATAAAGAATAAACAAATAAAACAAGGAAAACGGATAAAAAAGATAAAGGAATTAGTAGTTTTTGTTTCTTTTTATTTTGCAAATGCAATTGACATGTTTAGTTTATAAATCTTTTGTATATATGTGTGAACGCGTGTAATGTGCACACACACACACACATATGTATATTTGCCAACTAAAAATATAATCTTTTCGAAGGCAATTAGGTTAGAATATTACATCTCAACTAGCGTCCCATCTGTTGAAATCTACACACAATTATTTTAAAATTTCTATCTTTGATTTCCATATGTTCTATTTCTAGTATTCTAGACTCGAAGGCAGGTGTTCTACTAACCATGCCACCTTAGATATCTACTAAATTGTTATTTGAGATTAATAAACTGCAGGTTTGGCGGTTTGCGTTTGGCGATATAATTATTATCTAAAAATGTTTAGTCTGTATACATTTTCATGTTTGTATGTTTATGAAGAAGGAAGAAAAAACAAGAAGGATAAAGGAGGGAAGGATGGATAGGGAGAGGGATAGATAGATAAATAAATAGATAGAGAGAGAGGGGGGGAGGAATTTTAGGAAATCATTGAGGAAAGTGACTCATAAAGTCGCATTATAGCAGTTAATATTTCTCTGATTTCCCGAATGACCTTATCACATTATGCAATAGATATTTCCATAAGGGTTCGAATCCCAAGTCGTTTTGGGTTTACTTACGATTTCTAGGCCATTTATTTATTCATTTAATCAATAATGCCGAAAAACTAGTGGCATGATTAAACAGAACATGATTTCGCTTTTAGGGAAGAACGCTATTGTCGTGAGAT